CAAGTGGAATTTTGAGAAATTAGCAATTAAAAGACAAGAATTAAAATTAAATAATAATAATAATAATAATAATAATAATAATAATAAGAGTAGAAAACTAAATTTTTAGAAGACCAAAGTAGCCTACAGAAACTTCCCTTACATGAATTTCTGCATATAAATCAAAAAGAAACTAGACATTATCTTTAAAAAACAATACTTATATTATACTTAAATAATATTAAAAAGGCGAGTAAATAGTAAGTTTTAAGCTAACTTACTAGTTTGTTTTGGGGGGGGGATCGAGAAGTATTGCCAAACTAAAGTGATGTAAGTAGTGTGTTCTGCAAACTTTAAACAGAGGGCTCTAATGTAAGGTTTTGAGTGTAAAGTTGCTATCTGTGATCAATTTAAAAAAACCTATTCTGTAAACTTTTAAGTAATGTAAAATGTGTGTTCTGTTGTAAAAATGTGTAAAAAAATTGTAAAATGCAAACTGAAACATTATGTGAAAAAATTAATTAATATTAAGGATGTAAAAATTTAAAAGTTTTTGAAAAAAAGTACTAATATAAATTATTTTAAAGTAAAATTTAATTTTAATTTTGATTTTGAAAATTTTTTTGGAAAGTTATTTAAAGAAAGAATTTATTGTAATATTCTAAATTTATTAAAACTGCATTTCAAAATGTTTAATTAAAACCTCATTAAATACTGGCCAAAAGTAAGGAAAATTAGAAAAAGATAAAAATCTTCATTCAATTCGGGCTATATAAATGGAATAAATCCATATTTATTTATGGATTTTGATACTAGCACATGCTCTCAGAATTTAAATGATATTGCAGATTATTTCGCAACAATGATTGATCATTTATTTGTTTGCATTAAATTTCATTTAAATTAACTTTAAATTTGCTTGTTATGAATAGAGAATATTTGTTAAATTTAAATTTTATTCCTTGCAGCAATGGTGCTAGAGAATTATTTAAAATTAAATGTTACTTTATTCTATTGAATATATATATATATATAATAATTTATTTACTAAATAAAAATGATTATTATATTATCTCCTAAGATTAATTATAGTAGAATGATCTGAAAAGAGTGAACTAATTAAGTATATTTAAAACATAGTAAAAGTATCAACTAATTAATCGAGGTAAAAATAAAATTAAGAAGCGGTAAATGGTCAATTAGCCCAATTCGAAGTTCAGTATGGCACGTCAGGGGAAATATTTTTTAATGAACTTGGAACTAAGCTAACTCCATCACGTGTTTTGCCGAAACAGACAATTCAAACTGTGCGTGACACATTTTTCAATTAATTAAATAAAATATGTCAAAAACTTTAGTCTCAATTCTCTGTTCCAATTTCCCGACGAGTCTGCTTAAATTAACACATTAAGGTGTAATAAAGATAATAAATAAATAATGGAATGGAAATACCTATGTACAGAAAAAAATAAATAGCAATATGCTATTAGTCAAAATATACAAGATCTCATGGGTGGACCTGCAAGCTTAAAGAGTTAATACTTTGTAAAAGTACCGAAAATTATTTTTAATTCAAAACGGAAAGGATAATAAAATAGATGAATTGAAGCGAGGGTCTTGACAAGACCTAGAAAAATTTTGTAGAGAAAAAATATTATTATAAACAGACTTATATCAGTGCCGTCTTCTTTGGTTAACGATGAAATTTTAAAACCCGATCATGCTTATTACTTTCCAACAAAGAATATGTTGACTTTCTTTGTTTCCAACTCGCAGGATGACATAGAAAGGGGGGAAATAACATCACTGGGAAAGAGCCAATGTAAAGTGACTGACTGTTCTCAAAAAACCTGACTCATTGCAAAAAGGAGTAAAAAATGTTGAAAAAAGCGAAAAAGGTTCAAAATGGCGTCTTGTCTTAGTAGTTTGAAGGAAATTGGACTGGGTGAAAGAGAAAATGGCTAATTCAACAAAATATTACCTAAAATGGCCACCAAAGTCAGCAGAAATAATGAAAAATAGTAATTTTTGTTAATTAAAGTCGTAATTCTTTCAAGCTGCCAGAAACGAAATAGCACATAAGTTAATAACAGAATAGAATTGGCCAGCAAATGTTTTGAATCTATTTAAAAACAGAATTAAAAGTATTGTGCCAAATTTTAAGAGGAAAAATAGACATTGTGACAGGAATTATTTGTACATTTATGCATTAGATCTTCAGAATCAGTCATCCACTTTACACCGTCCCATAGGGCTTTAAGCATAAAATTTCATTATCTAAGTCAAAAATCTAAAAACTAATAAGGTTAATGACAGCTTTTTTTTAACATATTTTTAATTACTATTTGAGGAATCAGGTTATTTTTTTAATATTGTGACAAAGTATAGTACTTGAAAGTTTTTGTTGTATTGCAAATTCTTTTTAATTCTGAGCAGCTGTGAGTAAAATTGTATTGAGGATGACTTTTTTAGAAATATTGGAATTCCAGTTTGTTTAATTTAAGTGTTGTAAAGTTGAATTCTTTTCGTTTATCATAGGACTTTCAAAAAATTGTAATCTATAATATGCAAATCAAGGTAGACTATATCATGTTGCACGGTATTTGTAGTATTAAGTTTTAGGCATGAAGGGTAGATATTAGCATTTTTAATCTTGTTGAAGTTGTTGAAGGCTATTATACTTTAAATTTGCTTTTTAACGTATATACATCATCAATATATCGAAAGATGTGTTGGTAAAATTTATGATCTTCCTTTTTGAGTGAACGTGAAGTCAATTCTTTTGTAAAAAGGAATAATTCACAGACAGCACTTGAAAAATTGCCCCCATAGGAATTCCCTGTATTTGTTTAAATATGTTGTTATTGAATTGTATTTTAATTTTTAACAAATATGCATATACGTAAAAAAGCAAATTTAAAGTTAAAATAATGTGCAAACATATAAAAGCAATAACTCAAAGAATTAATTAAATTTGTATGTTTTCAATGTATTTATTCAATTTATTCTTTTGAAACAATTTTGTATTGAATTGAATATAATTATTGAAAAGTACGCTTGAAAGTAAAAGTTGCCATTTTTCAGCATTTAATATTTTAGAAATTTGGGGAAATAATTCAGGAAGAGCAAGTAAACTTTTATAAATTTCTTCAAGTGGCAAAGTAGTATAGAGGTTTTCAAAGTCATAGCATTGGATATGTTCTATTTTAAGTGTATTTAAGGTTAGTAGAATTTGTTCGTTACTTGAAATCATCCAGCTGCAGTGTAGATCTTTAAAATTATAATTATTAATGAGGTTGCATATGAGATGAAGTTTTTGTGCAAAGAGATCGTCTATTTCCTTTAGATAACTTTTGGTACTATTGGCAATGAACCTAAATTTGACCGGAGTCTTATGAAATTTTGGTAGTGCATATAGATTTGCAATTCTGTTATTATATTTGCGAGGATGGATTTTAAGTTTTTTATGAAGTGCCTTAAATTTATTGAGAAGAATCTTAAGTGTTGGTAGTAGTGATCTTTTTATAGGTGCAAGCTCTATTCAATTCTTTATTGCAGAAGCTCAAAATAAAACTTTTTTCAAATAACACTAAAATTGTTGCTAGCTTTGTCAATCTTTGTAAAGTTATCGTGCTGTTTTTGAATAAGAGTTTTTAGATGCCTTTTATTGTATAAATAATTGAAATTGGGTAACTTGAAAAGCATAAGTAGTAGGTAAGTATATATATATATATTCCCCCTCCCAATGGAATCCAGTTCAGCTTTCACCACAAAATTATTCCATGAATATTCAATATAAGGGAAAAAATTTCTCAGTTAATATTGAGTGATGAAATTCTGAAATATTTAACAACATGTATATAACTTAAGATTTTATTAAGTGGTCTATGTAAATGTATTAATTCATGAATCTTTCTTAAGATTCATTAATTATTTCTGATACATTCATACCAATTACTGTAATAAAATATTTGGTAATATAGATTAAAGAAACAAAAATTAATTAAAATTTTAAATTATCTGATTTTTAATTTGTAAAGGTTCATTTTATATTTGTATAACTTATGAATTTAAATAAGTATGAAATAGTGGAAACATGTTGTAAGGTTTATCCTAAGTTTTTAACAGTTATCTTTAGTTAAAGCTACTTTCCTATTTCTCCTAATTTCAGCTTACAATTTTCTGCCAAAGTGTGTTTTTAGAATCGTGATTAATGCAAATGAGGAAGAGCAGTATTTAAGTCGAAGCTCCACTGACTTCATTAGAAAGCTAGATATTCTGACTAGCAAACATATGCCATTTGGTTACACTCTCTCTAAGCTATTACTACGCTTGGCCATATTTCAGGCCTTTGATAGCCATTTAGGAGCCAATTTCTTAGAATTTTGATAGCTTAGTTAGATTAGTTAAGTTTTATTTCTTAGTACTCTTGAGTTCAAGCCCAAGTGGAGGCTTTCTATATGCTCTAAGAAAGGAGCCGACTGTAAAATTCTTATTTTGAGAAATAAAGGGTAATTCCCCTTCTCGAGTTTACGTTTCTCTTCCTGAACTAAAGCGATTATTTGCTTACCAGTTCACAAGGTTCCTACACACTTAGAAAGTAAGAGAAAAGGTTGGAACCCCGCAGTGTGAATAAAAGTTGGCTGTAGATTTTATACATGTGACCTTACCTTTTCCTGTCAGATTATTTTGATTTATTCTGGAATTCTAATAAAATTTTTCAAGCTGTAGCTGTAATATTTTTGAAGGGGAAACAAAAGTAGATTAAGTTTTAATAATTTATATTCACAATGTAACAAATTTATTCATATATGCAATGTTTTAAAGGTACCAGTCAGGATTTGTATCATCAATTTAATTTTTTAAATTTTTATCTGTTTATTTATATGCCCATTTTAGTGAAAGGCTGCGTAGTAATTTTTATTTGAGGCTGTTCCTATAACTGTTTACATATTTTATTTATTTGTCAAGAAAATTTGGTTGTATAGTTCTTGGATATTTAAAAATTTATGTTTTTTTAGAAAATGTGATTGAAGCTCTAACTTTAGCTCGATGGAGTTCGGTAGATATGATTCCTGATGAAGATGAAAAAGAACAAAGTGTACCTGAGGCAACTGATTTTAGAGATGGTGAGCATTTATTTATTGAGATATTCTCACTAAAATTATCACTTTTATCTTATAAGTGGAACACAGTGAAAGCAGTGTGGGACCTTAGCACAGCATTTGTTCAGTGATTTCAAGCCTTCCAAAACTTAGACTGTTAGACCTAGTCTTTGGGAGCATAGGTGATAATCAGATTCTACTAATATACATTAAAAATTTTCTATATTTCCATGCAGTGTTTTTGGATATGTTCAATACATTAATTTATATACTATTTGTAACAGTCTTGGATACACTCATTATATTAGTTTATATTTTATTGTTTGAAAACTTATTTCAGGAACAATAAGTGTTGATAAATACAATAATTTATCTATAGTTGGCAACATTTTCTTGTTTCTTTTCACATAAAGACATTACCTGTTGATGGCATAGCATTCCATAGTGGTAAAATTAAATTAAAGGTTGCCATATTAATCCTTATTTTTAACACTATTTTTATTCTGTTAAAAGTAACAGTAACATCTTGATATATATCAAATTCAACCTTTCATATGAGTTAATTTAAATGAAAAAAGTTAGTGGCATTTCATTGGAAAGGGGAGTTTCTCAGTTTTATGACCAAAAATTATTCTTTAAATAGTTTGTAAATTTTCAGTAATTCTAGGGTATATATTTTTTTATTTTGCACATGTTTCATTAAGTAAATTGTTTTTTCACTCTACTTAATTTTACTAGAAAGGAAGATAAGAGTATATTTTTTTTTTTTTTTTTTTTTGTCAAAATTCATCCATACCTCATGCATTGTTTAATAGCTGTTAATTTGGTACTTAAATGTGAATTCTTTGAACTTAATTTTGGAAGCACTGTTGTTTTTCATTTCAAAGTGATAATAATTTTAATCATACAAGATTTGCAATGCAGTTTCTTGCTAAATTGCAAGCTATTGCTGCACTAAAATTTAACTCTTTCTTTTATTTTAAATTAACTGTTTATGTATCATAATCCATGAAACTTTCACAAAAGTATGTTTACTTTTAAGGCACTAGTAATTTATTAATTTCTGTATTACTAATTTTAATATTCTCATGCTTTTTAACATAGTTTTGCACCTGAATCTAGCTTTCAACCCCCTCTTTTGCTTTAAATCCTATATATGTGGTGTTGGTTCTTTTAATTTCAGATAACATATTTTCCAACTTTTACATCAAGAAAGTACAGACTGAGCATGCAAATGCTCGACCACCAAGTGTTGGGTCTGCAGGTGCAGTTACTCGTAGCAGTTTGGATGCATCATTGCCCTCTACACCTACAGCCTCTCCAGCTCATCAGTCTTCATGCACTACTACAGTTTTGGCACTAGTTCTGCATGCTGGCAGTGTGCTGGACTCTGGTCTTGAACCAACTGCTAACAAGAAGACTGATGTTAATACTTTTGCCACTTCTTTTGAAGCAGTTATGAAACAGCACTATCCTGCACTTCTTAGCCATTTAACTATTCGCCTTGTTCCTTGTGCTGCTGTATGCTCTGAAGCTCTCGCAGTTCTGTCTAAGTAATTGTTCACTTCATTGTATATGAATTCTTTATTCAGTAGCTTTTTTCTTAAAAGTCAGAAATAAGAACAGTTTTCCTTTTAACCCTTTGACACGCGCAATATTATTTTTATAATTTTTTTAAACAAAAAATTTAATATTATGATCCTAGAGACAAATAATATATGAGTTTAAAAAATCTACTCTTGCCCATTGTTCTGTGGGTGGTGGTCGCACTGTGAAAACGCCACGCGTCTAGAACTTTAAAACTTACCTAGGTGGTAGGGGGGGGGACTTACCTTACTTCATGCACGTTTTCAATTCAATAAATGACGAAATTGACGAATTTAAAAAAAAATTATGTAGGAATTGCATAATATATATTTTTTTACATTATTTTACAAAGTAAATCGTCAGAAAAAATTAAAAAATAAACATTTATGTAATTTTTCTACAATAGTGAAAATATAAGTAAATATGGACATATGGATTAAAAAACTCAGTAAAATAAGGATTAAAAAAAAAACTCAGTTTTTTTTTTAAATTTCAAACAGCAAATATTTTTTGTGACACTATTCAAAGCATGTTTTGCCTTTTTGGTGCATGCATAGACCCACATTGCACATTTCTCACATGTATCTTCTTCTATGAGGTTTCTTCCTTATGCTACAAAACGTACACTGCCTGGACCTAAATTTCGCTGGTATATAAATTTCACTGGTATATGTTTCACTGGATATCAATTTCACTGGTATATGTCCAGCGTTATTTAGTTTCTTTCCATCTGGCACATAATTTTTTTTTATGTTAATTGGGGGGGGGGCTTGGTCTTTGTGGCTTTGGTATGGATCATTTGTTTCCCATTCATACTTATTTTATTCATACTTCGTTTCAGAATATTCAGAAAATAGTTTTAATTTAAATAAAACTTTATGCAATTTCTATTAATTCTATTAATTATAGCAAAGTATATTTACATTAAATTTAAACCACAGGAAATAATTTATAAAATCACAATACTAGCTTGGGGAGCAAGTGTGTTGAGGTTAGAGAAAAGTCTCTGGAAAAGAAAGACCTTTTTACTGAGCAGGTGCATGTATTGTTTAGTAATAAAATAACTCTGTGGTTTCAAAACCCCTTATCTATATCCAGGTAAAAATAAACATTCCTATTTAAGAAGCAAGCAAGCGTCATTGTGAACAGCAGTGGTTTCAAGGCGCGACCACCAAGCCTCTAGAGCATGGTGCAGTGGTTGCGCCCTGAAACCACAAAGCAAATGCCATACATATAGAGGGTTTTTTTTATATATGCAGTTTAATTATTGCTATTTTTTATGATAGAAATCATGATGTGCGATGAGTAACTTTTGAAATTTAAAGTTTTTTATGTTAATAAAAGGAAGTTATTTTGTCTCATTGAAAACGAATTTTAAAGGCATTCGATTTGAAGTACTAAGACCTAAAACATGTATGATTTTGCAGTCATTTTGTGTTATTTAGAGGTAATAGATCAGTAATCAATTGATTTTCATTCAAAAATTTCGGAACGAAGAGGAGGAAAAAATTCGAAATTTGGTGGTTTTCAGGGCATAAAAATGAAATACCTATTTAAAATATATGCCTTTTTATTCTGAGTTGTATTTAATTTTGATTTTTTATGTGTTCTATTCATGTGAAAAAATATTTTGGATTTGATTGTTTGTTTCTATGTATTAGGTTATTTATTATTTATATTTCTCTTTTAGTTGTGTGTACATTCAAGGTGTGTGACTATTATCTCTGGATATTTAGACTAATTGGTATCTAACAAATCTTGAGATAAAATTATTTGTTAAAAGCTGATCATCCCTAACAGTCTTGCTTGTAACAAGAACCTATATCTTTACCAAATTAAGGATTGGCACTGTTTGTCGGTAGCCCTCAGCAAGGGCCCATGTGCAAGTAATTTTTTGAATGGGCTGTTTTAAAGAAGCTAGGAGTAATGTTGTAAGTCCCTCTAATGAGCCATGATGAGAGCCATTTTGAAAACTATTATAGGAGTGTATTTTGAAAATATGAAAGCTCTCTCAGCTTCTTTAAAAAGGCCCATTCAAAAATCCTTGTATATTCGAAATGGTATTGATGAGGGGTACAGGACACAACCATTGATACTTGGCCAAATACATAAGTTTCTTTCAACAGTAGTAGACATCTACGAGGGCTATCCAGAAAGTAGATTACGTTTTGGAATAAAAAAATAAACAAAGTATAGGAAACAAATTTTATTATATACAGATGAAAGCCACACTCAAATACTACTTTTCTACATAGTCACCATACAAATTAAGGCATTTATCGTAGCGATGTACGAGCTTGGAAATTCCTTCGTCGAAAAATTCGGCCGCCTGCGCCTTCAACCACTTCGTTACCTCTTCTTGCCTTCCATCTTGCACAAAAAACTTGTGGTAACCAAGCTTTTCGCTGATGATTTCGTGCAAACAAACTTCGCGAAATTTGTGGAAAATTCAAAGAAAGTTCCGTTATTGTGAAATTTCGATTTTCACGGACTTTAGCATCGACTTTTTCGAGAAGTTCGGCGGTCACTATGCTGGGTCTCCCACTTCGATCTTCGTCGTGAACATTGGTTCGGCCATTTTGAAATCTTATGACCCACTGACGCACTCCACCTTCAGTGATAATGTTGTCCCCATACACTTCACGAAGCTGCCGATAGATTTCTATCGGTTTACAGTTTTTTGCAGTCAGAAACCTTATTACTGAGCGCACCTCGCAGCTCGCGGGATTTTCAATTAACGCAGACATTTCAAACCGTCACAGTATCTGAACGGAGCACAGCACGAACCTCTCACTAGCACGGCTAGATGCAGACTGAGCTGCGCAACGCTCTGACCCCAAGATGGCCGCGCTAGCCCCGCCCCTAGCGGACACAGACGGAAACGTAATCTACTTCCTGGATGGCCCTCGTATTAGTCATAATATTCTTTTTAACAAATAATTTCCAATTTTTCTAAAATCGCAGATAAAAATCATAGCTTAAATTTCCATTGGGAATTTTATATGCTTATAATAATGTGTTCTTTCTGCATTCAGATACATGTTGTACTTACTTTATTATAGTCTTAATTTGTTATTTAATAAAAAATATTTGCCATTTAATCCAAATTAAACATTTGCAAGAATAAATCTGCAGAATAACTCTTAAATAAATGTAATCAGAATATATTTTTTATATTTCATTTAAATTAAATATGTGAGAAAAATATTATTTGTAACGCATAGAATTTTGCATTTAAATTTATTTAACTACTGCTTTCAATGAAAAAGTTTTGGATAGTGTTGTCAGGAAGTGGTAATGAGTGGATAAATATGTATGTATATCATACTCTTTATGCTATGTTTAGATAATTGTTTGGCATTAGCAGCATTCTAAGGTGCATATTTATGAAGTGGGATTGCTTATTCATCTGAACTATTAGAACTCCCTGATCTTAAAACACAAAGTATGTTTACTAATTTAAAAACAAAAAAAAATTGTATTATTGGTATTTGGAGGCCTATTGCAATGTAGAGCCCTTCATGACTTATCTTGTATTATTCCATTAATCTACATTGGTATATTACTTATCTTATGAAGGATAATTTATTATGTACTATGTGTTTATGTAGCTTTGTCAGATTATGAATTAAAAGATATGTTTAAATATTTAAAACCAAAATAACATTAAAATTTTTTTAAACAATTATTATTTGCCTGAAACTTTCTCTTTTGGAATCACTCTCCTATTTTCATATAAATTTCATTTAACACAGTTTTTCCCCCCTCATGATTTTTAGACCACTTATATACAATGTAAAAAAAAGAATTGGGTGTAACGAATTTTTGTAAAGAGAAGTAAAATGTAAATTCTATTGCTATCAGAGAAGTTTATTATTATGTTAATATTACATATCAGTAGGTACCCTTCGCTTAATTTTAGCCGCTAGTTAAGTTGATATATTAAATAGGAATAAATGTAGTTTATTTTATTCTTCTTGTAATATAGCAACTATCATTTTTCACGTATGTAACACCATATGTATGTCCATGTCTTAGCAAGACACAAAAGTATGAAACTTTAGAACTTAGCACTTAAAACTTAGAGCACTTTACTGTAACACTTAAAACTAGAGTTGCTACTTTAGGGCATCAGTTTAGTTTACTACTCTGATTAATTGTTTTTTCATGGGATTCTGTACAAATGTCATTACATTTTGATACTAATCTTATACATTACGTTTTTGGCTTGTTACCTTTTATATTTCTCTAAAAAGGCTGAATTTTGTTTAACTGTACACATGTTAGTATGTTTACATGAGTGCTATTAGCTCATTGTTTATTTCTTGCCACTGAAAAAAAATTAAAAATAATAAATAAAAATAATTTTAAAAAACTGTAATTAATAATAATTCTGGAAAAGTATTCTAAATGTTTCAAACTTTTATCTCTGAAGTACTATATTGTTAATGTTTAAGGTATGTATTATCTTAGAGATTAAGAAGTAGTGATTTGATTACCAGTTTATACATGTTATCCCTTTTCTAATGCTTTATAAATCATTCTTTTAGCTTAAGCCCATATAGCTTCCAATCTTCTCCATCAGCAGTGGAAGTAATTTATCATTCATATGATTCAATACCCCTTGGAGCATTGCCCCTTTTTGCTGTATCTTCTCCAGAATACCAAGAAACTGTTACAGCTGTGATCAATGCATCAAATGAAGTTTACAGAGGGTTTTTACGCTCAGAAGAAGGAACTGGATTCAGTGGGCAGGTAAATATATGCATTTATTTGCAGATTTTGTTTAAATACTATAATGCATTTAAAGGTTTACAGATTTCTGTATTATCATTATTTTGGACCTTTATCTCTCAAAAAAATTTTATGTGTACTGTTTAGGTAATTATAGTTGCAGATAGTGTAGCTTCTTTGATGGCATATGATGCTCTCTGTCGTAATGCAAGGTATGAAGGAAGATTTGGCAGTGAAACAAGTATAAATGATCCAGAGGCTGCTCAATCACAGACATCAAATACTCGATCTAATCCTTTGATATCTATCAGTGATGGAGGTTCAGTGGATGAAAGTCAAGATAGCACAGCAGATCCAAAATCTCGTCAGACAGCAAGAATATATCGTAAATCGCACTCCCATCCTCAAGAATCAGAACCTCCTCACTGTGATAATGTTCAGTAAGTATTTCTGTTATCGATTTCAAAATTAAAATGTTTTATGGACTGTAATAAATTTTGGATATCGACTCTTTATGTTGAAAAGAAATCTTTTGATCGTAATAAACTTGGCATGAGTAGTGAATAGTAAAATATGAAAGCATTATTAAAATTAGTCCAATGAGCACACATAGCTTCAAAAATATTATATATGAACATAATGTATAGCTGCTTCTGGTATCAGTGCATGAGGATATTTATTGTGCCATGGACTCAAGAAAACATGAAATGCTGACTTGTGGAATTTGTTGCCAGATAATTTTGTAATTCCTTGGCATGCAATGCATATGGAAAATGATTGTAACTGGCATGCAAAATGTTATTGACATAGCAGTGCCTGTTAGGATACTGAAAAAGATCAATGAAAAGTGAATGTTATAGTTAATGACTTCCTAAATAACAGTGCCAGATGTAATTATAGTACGCCACTGCACAATGAATGTGGTAAAATAGCACTGTCTGGACCTCTTCTACACATGTTTTCTGGTTATCTGAATCAAACAAAAATCATGAACTGCTGTTGAATATCTAATGCAGTGATAGTCAACCTGGTCCCTAACACCCACTTGTGGCAGATTTAAGTTTTCATCATGAGTAGTAGAAGTTTTAAGTGATGATGAAGATCAAAGAAGAAAACACACTCACTCATACATATATGTATACATATATATATACACATGTGAAAATTTATTTCTCTACTTGATCGTCCCCCACGCGCAATGTTATCTTGTTTAAATTCACTATTGATTATAAATATATGGAAAGTATAAATAAATGAATAAATTAACCTATACAATACTTCTTACTTATCTCCACTAAAGTTGCATTAAATTAGGTTGCTGCTTTGAGGAAATTTTGCTATTTATAAAGTAGTCCTGATATAATGGCTCCAATTCAGTTGATTCCATGCTTTATGGTCACAAAACTAGAAACACAAACTTTTCCTGCCCATGAGTAAGTGATAAATTCACAGCTGATACTTTGTAATTGTAGTTTGTGATACTCTACATCTAGGAGATATAAAACTGTTAGTATATTTATGAAAGATTTCACACAATCCTACAAAGATGTTATTATTGTAAGTCTGAAACTGTCCTCATGTTTGTTATGGATACCTTGCTGGAATCAATATTAACAGCATCATTTGATTGTATCATCTTTCCTTTGTAATAGCTGATTTTTTACTACAGCCAGCCTATTTTTCTGAAGGTAGTAATGTGACCCTTGCTTGATTGTACTGGTGTCCAGCATTTTTATTTGCTTATATACAAGCATAATTATAACATAAACAGTCTGAATTGACATATCTACTGAACAGTTAGTTGTCTTTGCTTTGAAGTGACATTTCCTGTACATTTTAAGACGGGCTCTACGTATGCACTAGGCTGTGTATTTTCTGTCATTTGCATATCTGGTTTATAGGTATTTGCATGTTGAGCTTTGAAATTATTGTACAATTTGTCTAAATGCATAAACTTTTTTGACATTTTAGGAACAGTTAATGACTTATTTTATACTTTAAAAAGCTATCTAATTTTATGTAAAATTAATCTGTATATTTGTTGTACAGAAAATTAGAAATTCCCTCTTATTTTACATAAGATCCTGAGCTACATGCAATTTATTATTTTTTGAAACTGTTGATTCAATTAGTAAACTTTTTTACTTATTATTCTGTGAAAGTGTGAAAGACTTAAGGAAAAGTATTTGATAAAATTAGAATTGCAAATATAAAAAAATTCAGTAGAAAATGCGTATTTTGTAACTTGTTCCAGGGTTAATCGCTTATTGTCTGCACCTAATACGAGGCGTCACAGCTCAGCTTCTAATGACCCAAGTTCTCACTCAAAATTTGAATTTGAAGTGAGTGACTTTTTCATGTTTGGAAGCCCTCTGGGTACTGTCCTAGCATATAGAAAAATGCTCACTTTTGATGACAAGAACAGTGAGTATTTAACAAGTAATATTTTTATAACTGTATCACAGATATTTTCTAGTACTAATTCTCATTTAAAGTGTAGTGTAGAAAACAATTTTCTTATCTTTATTTTTTGGCTACATTGTTCTTAATATATTTTTAATAATATAAAAAAATATTTTTAGATCCCCCTCCTCGGCCGTCCTGTAACCAAGTGTACAACTTGTTTCATCCAACAAATCCATGTGCATCACGCATTGAACCACTTCTAAGTGCTCGATTTGCCCAACTATCTCCCATTAACATTCCTAGATACCAAAAGTATCCTTTAGGAGATGGGCAACCTCTTCATCTGTGTAAGTGCCATGTCTTAGCCAAGTGGTTTTATACTTGTTGTAGAATATTGTATCTTCTGTATGAAAAATAAGAAAATTTTCTTTAAAATGTTGATGATTAATTTGTACAGAAGGAGGAGAGCTATATTTTTGATTGACTGCTAAGAAATGCTTTCTCCTGGGCTAGTATGTAAATGTGATTTATAATTTATGAAATTTTAATATGAATGCAGGCATTATTTTATTCCCCGTTATTCAGTATTTTGCTACAAAGTCAATGCAGCCAAATGGGTTATAGCATAAATCAGTTTTGATTACGATGATTGATTTGTGTGTACGGGAGAAAAGTTTCATGTTGAGGCCCCATCATGGAAGTATTTATATCCTTCATTAGTTGTTAATAGTTTCAACTAGAGTTGCTGAATAAAGATGAATTCTTGAAGTATATGGTGAAACCTTGCCTCATGAATGGGATTCATTTCTTAAGTTCATTCATCACCTGAAATATTTATAAACTGAATTTCTTTCCCCTGTAACAATTAATTTAAAAGCAATTAATCTGTACTTCAATCGTAGATGACAGTTTACTAATACAGCAGCCCTTTGTGCTTAAGTTCATAACACAAAATAGAAATCCAGACCTCCCCAAACAATGCTAAGTATATTTTTTGTAATTTTTAGGTTTTATAAACTAAATTGCTTAACACGTTGACTGCCAGTACCCGTAAGTGTAAATTGCATGAGTGGCCACATTATTTACCATATTTTGGGAAAGTATTTAACTCTTATTCTCAGAACTGGAATCGTTATTATTTTTATGCATATGCTAGACATTCATGTATAGGCTATCATCATATATAATTTGGGTTCTGATCAGTTCATTTACATCACATTTCTCTCGAAATATATATATATAAAAACTGTATAAGATCATTCCAAATCTCAAATCTTAGTATATTCTTACTTCATAAGTTTGAAAAAAAATAACTGCATGTATAAGATGCAACATTGTATTTTATTTCAATTTTATTTATTTTTGAACAAAACATTTTGAAATTTTATAGTTTGTAATTTGGAACCAATTTAAGCAGTGTGATTTGGAAGTGAAAGAAATTTATATTCTCATATAAAACTGCAGAAAAGGTAACACACCAGTGATACATACGGCCACAAATCTGAATGTTGCTTAACCCCACCAATGGATCATGAGGCTCCAGAAGCAAACCTATCATGATCTACTAGTGGGCCACATAGTAGTTAAGGTATTAAAGGGGTTGCAACTTCTATAAACTAAATAATTTATTTAAACACTGTGATGTTATCTGTATGAATGTTTTGAATATTTTAAGATTAAAGATTTTTTTCCCACAAAATGTTTTGTAATTTATTTTATCAATAAGAATAAAAAAGTACTACTGTTCTTTATTGCATATGCCCCTCCCCCTCAAAATCTGTTTAGTGTTATTTTTTCAAATGCAACTTACTGAGATTCTACCATTTGTGATAATGTTTCCATTTATCTTCATTTAGTGGAATACATACAGACCTATCCTCATCTTTTCTTAGAAGGTCAAAGTGGAAGGCGAACTAGTGAAGCTAGTATTGCCAGTACAATGTCTGGAATGATTGATATTGTGCCCATAACTACTGTGGCATCATGTATGTACTTCTGCTCTTTAGTGTACATACATTATATAGTTGAAGAATCATTTTGATGGATTTTAAGGAATTTTAAAATGGATTGTTTTTTACAACTTTTTTATTTTTTTGCTTTCTTTAATTACAGTGACTCAGCGATGGTGGGGCCCCAAAAGATTGGATTATGCTCTTTATTGTCCTGAAGGTTTATCTAATTTTCCAACTAATGCTCTTCCTCATTTATTCCATGCTAGTTATTGGGAATCAAATGATGTCATAGCATTCATCCTGAGACAAGTATGATTCATTTATTTCATTGCCTACTTTTTGAATTCATAGCACAATACGAAAAATCATGTGCATTGTTCATTTAATTTTTAGTTATCCATAAGTTTAAATATATTTAAATTTTTAGTTATCGATAAATATTTCCATATTTTTTGTATATTATTATTAAAAGTTGTAAACATCTTTAAAGAAAGAGGAAGTTTTTATTTACTAGATAAAAGAAATATTTAATAAGATTAAGAAATACTTATCAAGAATTATAAAATTTCTGCAATGGATATGTAATTAAGTTATTTAACATTTTACAAGTATTAATTTAAGGAGTATCAAATACCTTGCAAAAGTTCTCGAAAACTGGCATAAATAATATGACATATTTTGAAGTTAGCCGTAGTAGAAAAAGGTTATATATTAGTTTCAACTAAGCCAACAGCATTAAATCTGCAATAAGGAATGCTTTAAAAAATTCAAAAGTAATATGTAAGAAGGTACTGTTTTCAATTAAACAAAAGCTTAGAAAATTTGTTCATATATTTTGAAATTTGTTTTGTGGATCTTGTTAATTCACAAATTCTTTTTCTTCTGACAGATGTTTCAAACATATAGATCATGATTTTCAAGGTAAGAAAATACACTGTTAGCCATCCAAAAAAGGAGGAAGAATCTAATGTGCTTGAAATTTACACCATGCATAGACTTAGATAGAATGTGCAAATGATTAGCATTGCAGTGCCTCTTCCAATTATGTATGTCTATAATGCCAGGTAGAAGTACTGTAAAATAAGACAATAGGCAGCTCTTTGCTGCATTTGAGTATTTTGCTCTACTGCATTTGGGTATTTTCCTGCAGTTCCTTTGTGTGGGAAACTTCATTATACCTTCTTGGGAAAATGGTAGTCATTTGAACAAGTTTCTTAAGTAGACACATCATGACTTAATATAGACTGCAGATTACCTTTCTAATAAATTAGTGTTCGTATTAGATGAAATCAAGCCACAATAATGCGAGTAAAAAATTGGTAGGTACTGGATAGGTAGACCAACCAATGTAAAGGATTGCATCAGCCTCATCATATCACTAAATGACAAGATGCTAATGATGGGTCACACAGCAATATCAAATATATGACATATTTTGAAGCAAGAATTAGGCTATATTACAGAATAGCCTGCGTCAGCACATATCATTTGATGTCATCTGCAGATGACAATTTTTGCAAGGCATTCATTTTTGTGATTATTGTTTATTCTATACCACAGACATTCTTCATTTTAGTGGAGCTGTGAATGTTAGACATGGACAAACAAATGGTGTGACAGTCTTTTTTGGAAAAAGTTAAATTCTGCCTGAAACACCATGATCATATCCAAGACTGACACCCACAGCTGGATTGAATTGACCATTAAGCAGATTAAGCACATGCTTAAGGCATTAAGGAAAAAGGATGTTATAAAAAAATAGGTGCACCAAAAAAAATCCTGTTGCTGATTTTATCCTGGAATGTATGATACAGCTAAAGCAAGACCACAGGAGAAGGAATGGGGAAAAATAGATGTAAATATATATGTGGAGGAAAAGGGAGCAGCAAAATCTTTTTAGAACTTAGATTCTCTATAAGTTGTAATCCACCCTTGCTGAGGTAACAGACATCATGTCCATAAACATTGTGCATTACACACTGTTTTATCTCTTAAATCTATAGTTTCGATATGATTGAATTTACTTCTGTACGTACCTGATTTGCTTGTCAGCACTCTCAGTGTCCATGCTATTTTCACATGTTGCTAAAAGCTTATCTAGAATAATCAGCATATTCCACCCATTATTATGCCAGATAAACTTCAGCAATGAGTAGAAACAACATTGACTGGCATACTCTAAGCGCACTTCCAAAGCCTCTTTTTTTCATTGCTGAGGCCTGTCGTAGCAGTTATTGCCATCATGGTGGTTACATAAAATATTGATTTCTTCACGTTTTGTAAATCAAATGGGAATGTAATTTTCATCAGTTCACCATCATACCTTATATTATTTATCCATTATATACAGCTTTCATATCTTTTATTTTTTATGCTGTTATGCTTTGGGTGGTGAATGCTGTATTTTTTATACACTGCAATTCCCCCCCCTCAATGGTGGGCTCTAGTCATATGTAGGTGTTGGCCACTGCTAAGGGTGGAAGTGGTGGTCACTTTATTATGGAGGCACCATTGCTTCCTTCCTATGAAGGGTAGGACAAATTACTTCCATGCCTTTTCCGTGATTCAAACCCCGGCCTTTTGGTGCAGCAGTCAGTCACTAACCACTTTCCTGTCTGAGCAGCTACTGTAAATGTTTAAAGAAGGAAAATGCAAATACAGTCAAAAGTCTTTAATCTGGACTCGTCTGGACTTCGGCGATTCCGGATTATCGGTTTTTCCGGATTATAGATCATCAATTTAAATCTGGTAAGATGGCATGCAGAAATTATAAAATTTAAAATATGAAACTATAATTTATGAAATAAAGAGCAATTATGATCTAAAGGGTATCAAAATTTACAAAAAAAAAAGCTTAATATTTATTTGTTTACATTATTAAACATTTCTTTCAACATGCGCATGTGTAAAGCATACATTACGTATAGTCATAATTAGAAAATTGCAACCAGAAAACTATTTTATATGTATTCGTGATATTTATAATGACGAGGAATTTGATTTAAATCATATCAAAGACTGAGTACATTGAGATGAAATACTACATTTAGTAAGGAATTATAAGCCGAATAAAATAAAAACATCTGCCCTGAAGATAAGAGATAAGGATAGTGCTGACAGATCAACTTCCAGTTAATTGCGTGCCACGATGCCCCCCCCCCCCCCGCAGAGCAGCGTGAAACTGATAAACAGATTTCGGAATGGTTAGAAAAACAAATTATATGCCTTTATCCACTTTTTGTTTGATGGACATCGAAACATGCTTTCGCTTTGTAGATAGATTCTTTGACAGCTCCAGAATCGGAAATTCTATTTGACATAATCGAAAGTTCAAGCTTACTTTTATAAAATTGCTCTAACAGTCTGCAAAAAATAATAAGCTGGATCCAATTCAAAGATTAAGGAACAACACAATCTGCAACATTAACTGAAATAGATAATTAGATAATTTTATCTTAACTTATACCGTCCGTTATACATTAAACGTGCATGCATAAACGTATTATGAGAATGCGCACACGCATATGTGCATGCGTAAAGGTATTTCGCGCATGCGTGAACGTATTATGCGTTGACGCATGCGCAGAAAGTTTGTAGCTTTGAAGTCCGGATTAACGACTTTTGACTGTATTTTTAATTTGCAAAATTTAACTGTAATGATCTGGTTAAGGCCCTTTTTAGTTAGTCTGTCTGTGAGCATATTTTTTAAAATTTCTTATAAATTTTATTACATTATTATATATTATTATATTATTATACATTATGATTATATTATATTATATACATTATTATTATATTATTATACATTATTATTATATTATTATCATTATTATAATTATTTATTTATTATAAATTTTATTATTATAAGATGTGTTATGTAATTGTATTAGGTGAAGTCCAATAAAAAGTAGTTGCTTTCTAACTCGAGGTCAGTGTTATCATGCAGTCCAAAGGAAGTCACTTCTCAGAAATATGGAAATTTTGGCACCTTTTCATTATGAAAAGTTGTTTAAGGTGCAGTTGGTAACAATTCCTCTTAATAAATTATAACATTTGTCCCTGTTGTGTTGAATTAGTGAATGATTACATTGAGAGCAAAAGAATCCAGTGGATGGCATGGCCTGCATATTTTCTTGATTTACACAGGATAGTGTATTTGTGCAATGCACTGCATCATTTCAACTCCATATTGACACTTTATTATAGCTTCACTATTCATTGTGAATACATTGTTTCCACAGAAACTTCTGAACAATGTAATACAAACCGGGGAAGATTGGTATAAAGTTTGCATTTTGGTCAGGCATTTCCACACACCTTATTAAATTTCTTATGAATCTCTAAAAAGCTGTAATAACTTTTCCCTACCCCACTTTATATCATATTTTGAAACTATCACTACCATCTTGGCACAAATTGGCAATTTTTAATATCAGTATAGGAAAATAAAACATACTTTGGCAATTGAAAATACAAATTTTAATTATTAACTAAGGATTATTCCATACATAAAAAAAAAAAAAATAAATAAAACACTTATATTCTTCTTTGAATCTGTCCTTTTTTTTTTTTCGTTATTCTCTTTTCAAAGAACACAGCAATCTGTTTTCACTTATAAAAAAATCAGAAAGTTGCAGAGTTTCAGCTTCGTACAATCTTCAGCAGCAGTAGCTATCTAGAAAATGCATTTCCTCGTTGTTCTCTTTAGAAACATTTCAGGAATATTCTGTATCTGCCAAAATTTTACCATAGTTTCTTCCATTGCTGGTTAATTTCACAAGCTCATACTTTGAAACTAAGTTTAAGGCAAAAAAATATCCCGATTTGTGTTTAAAAGCCGTTGGAACTTAATACAACAAAGTAGAATGCATAGGATAATGGTGGCATTGCTTGGCTGAAACAATTGTTATCAGCATGGTTGCCAAAGTTTGGCACTCTCTCAAAATTTGGCTATTTCTACACAGAGGCGATTGCGATAGTACTTAAGTACCCATATTTCTTGTGTTCTTATTAAAATTAATTTTTTCTAGAAGTAGACAATTCTGCATTTTGGAGGTTTGTTAGGCAGTACAAAGTAAGAATCTTGTGTAAGTTACGTGGTCTTTGTTGCAAGATCATTTGAATTAAATGAGTTTTTATTTGTGTTCCTTTATTTTTTCCCATTATTGTAATAAGTATGCTAATCCTGTGTTTTACAGAAATTCATTGTATGATTTTTTTGTAATTTTTTTCAGCTGATGCGTTCTGATGGCTTAGGTATGCCTGGAGAAACTGAGAAAGAAGTAGCTGCTTTCATACCAACACAACCGAGAGAAAAGTGGATCAAGAAAAGGACCTCAGTAAAACTGAAGGTTATGGTTTTTTTTTCTTTTGTGTGTGTGTGTGTGTGATATTTCTCATTGAGTGAAGTCTTAAGTTGTAATTTAAATTATCATTCAGTAGATATAAAACTTCTGATTATAATAAAAATTCTGAAGTCAAATTTCAAATCTCTGCAAATTATTTCATTAAAGAGAGGCGTTTTTAATATATATATATATATTATATATATATAAATTGGCACTGTAACATCTCCAAAAATAGTTATTCTAAATGCAATACATACTCAACTCCTTAGAATAAAAAAAATTTGCAACAATATCAAAAACTTGCAAGAAGAAATCACTAACTTGGTCAAAATTCTCTTAGCGAATAAAACGTTTTTATTCAAAATTTCTCTACCTTTAAGGAAAGCTGGTATTAACTACATTTTTTAAATTTCTCATCTAAAGTGAAATGATAATTATTTCTTAAACCTTAATCGGAGGTAATAATTGGATGACTAGGATAAGAAATTTAATGTATATATATAAAAATATCTTGTAAATTTCCCTTAAAATAATTCAGATTTTCTAATCTTTCTACTACTTTAAATAAACTAGCAAACTTTCCTTTTACTAAAAAAATGGAGCTTCTAGTTTCAGAAACGTTTTGTACCCTGATTGCATGGATACTTTCATCTTTTATAACCTTAATTTTTCTTTTTTCCTCAACTTAAAGCCAGTTAAGTTTTCGCGTTTTAAGATTTTACAGTCGACATTATCTTTTAGAAAGTTTTTTCCATCACCATGTTGGTGATGTGCATTTTTAATGTGCTGGTATAGCTATATCTTTGGCAGCTTGCTTTGTAAGCTTATCAGCAAATTCATTCCCTTGTACTCTAGTGTAGGCAGGAACCCGATACAGATGGGACCTTTTGTTTGCTGGTAATGCTAACAAGTCCCATCTATGTAAAATAAGGCTTCCACTACCTGTACCTTCAGTTGTCTGCAGGCTTCAAGCCAAGTCACTGTAAATGTTTATATGACATTCTTTGGCATTTCTGCTTCAAGGACATAAAGCTCTGCTTGAAAAACTATGTTATGGCTGTCAAGTGTATGCTTCCAGGTAAATTTGATAGAATTATTATCAATGTAGCAGAGACCGTTCCCTGCACCTTCTCTGTTTTTAAGCCATCTACACTCTTTTGCAAAAAAAAAAAAAATCGAAGCACCATGAAAGAAGTGGTTGTTTTTCATGAAATTGAATATGCATATAGCTCATACACAGATAATAAAATATTTAAAAATTCAAGGTCATAGTACCTGTTCACGCCTCACAATCACCCATTGAGTGTTCAAATTAGTAGTTGATCGAACCGCCTCTGGCGGCAATTCGTCGAGGCAAAGAGTGGTAGAGGTTCCTTTTGTGATCCTGTGACACATTCTGTCAGGCATTCATCCGTTGTCACTCCAGATCTGCAATATTTTGTGGTGCCTGAATCTGGCAGTCTACTATGCCCCAGACATGCTCGATTGGTGAAAGGTCTGGTGACCTTGCTGGCCAAGGAAGAGTATCAACTGCACATAGAGTATGTGACCTGGCATTTGTTTCTTGTAAAATAGTCCCAAATTCTTGTAAAATAGTCCTTGTAAAATAGATGACGTGCCATGAAGGGTAATGCAACCGGCCGCAGGATGGTATCAACATATCGTTAAGCTGTTAAAGATGTACGCAGGATAACTAAACATTACCTGCTGTCATAAGAAATAGTGCCCCACACAATCGCACCAGGGGTTATGGATGTATGCCTTTATAAAACAAAGGCTGATTGGGACCGCTGGCCCCGTCCTCTCCAGACACGAATATCGTGGTCATCTGCTTCAAGAGTGAAGCAGGAATCATTGCTGCACATTATACGATTCCAGTGTGATGGCAGCCATGATGATCAGCTGTGACACCACTCCAGACGACTCCCCCAATGTTGTGATGTCAAAGGCAAACATGTGGCTGTAGTGCATTGAATAGTCGACAATGATATCGTTGGAGCAGTTCGGGCCTGGCGAACAATCATCCTATCTTGCCTCGCAATTTTTATCCTTGGCCTTCCAGAGCCTTCATTTTGTCAGCAATTTCCTTCTAGCAACCATTGCTGCCAACATCTTTGCATAGCAGTGTCTATATGCTGCAGGTGGTGTCCTATTGCTCGGTATGACTATCCAGCTTCATGCAACCCTACAATGCAACCACGTTTGAAGTCATTTAGTTGTCTGTAAAGCATTCTATATCGTCTTAATGGCATTTTTAGTTGCTTCTTTACAGAATTACAATGGCAGCAACAAGAAAAGATAAGTTTTCTGCCTCTATTGCTGGTTTTATAATTTGCAAATTGTGCACTAGAAATGTGCGATATGATTGCATTTCCTGTTCATTTACCTTGAAGCTGTGATCATTTGCATGTTCTATCAAGATGTTTTGCATACCAAATTCCATCACGATCACAAAAGTCCTTCTTGGTGCTTCGATTTTTTTGCAAAAGTGTGTATATAGGCATTTGTATCTTTCAGAGCTCAAACTACGTAATAAGAGTCCATGTGGATTGCTACATCTAGGTTTAATTGTGCTGGATGTTGTTCAGAGGTAATTCTGTTGTGCTTAAAGTCTTTTACAGTATATTCTATGTCCCAAAATGACCAATTCTATTTTAGCCTTGAAATATTGCCTAGAAAAGCTTTCTGCAGAACTCTGACTCATGGAGAAAACTACAAAAACACCCAGGAAGGCAGCTCATTAGTCTGGATTTGAACCCCAGTCGTTCTACCAGTGTTCACAACTTTACTGCTGGTAGGCTTCAAATTTACCTGCAACTGAGCCTTGAAGAAACTCTGAAAATTTCCATATGAGGAATATTTCCACTTTTAATTAAGTTATCCATCCATGATATGAGTTTCGTGTGGGCTAAAATTATTATTGACAAAGGTTATTTTATTTATTTATTTATTTTTTAATATTTCACTTCAGAAAGAAGGATTTCATTTTATTCTCTTGGCAGGTAGAAAACTATCATTAATGTACAAATTTGTCTAATTTTTCATGCTTTCACGTTATAAACTTTTTTTGGATATTAGAAGTAACATAATTGCAGTAAGGTATAAGAATTTGTGAATTTGAATTCAGTTCATTCCTGAAAAGACCATGCGTTGAATTCATTTGTACTGAGCTGAGAAATTAAGGGATTGCTATCACAGGCAGTCAGGAAATGGAAGCTCTGTGAAGCCTTTAGAGCAATGTATTAAGGTATTTCTTGAAATTCTGTCTTTGTGATAACTTCTATGGTTTACTTGTAAACAGACACCCTTTATTTTCTGAAATGTTTACAGAGTCTGAATACATTTTAAGGCGCAAATAATGTTCAGGGCACTTCAGTCTGAGACTAAATTGTTCCTTTCTGCTCAACAGCTGTTTTTATTGGTTACAATCCATTTAGCTTTTGTGACATGAACTCAGTTCTTTATAGCAGAATGATTAAAACAATCTATTAATCACATAATGATTAAAACTTTATTTCTGTAGAATATGATGATGTGTGAGTGTTTTCATATTTTATGTGTTATGTATGTATATGAGGTAATTTTCTTTAAAAAATGCTGCTTTCAAGATATTTCACTTAAGCTAAATATTCTTCAAATTCTCTGCCATAAATTGAATTGCCATATATTGCCATATATTGAATGTCAATAAAATTAATTTTTACTAAGTTAACTTTTAAGAGCATAAAATAAAGTGCACTTGAAAATGAACTACATGCTTTTGAAAAATTGCAAAGCAGTTACACAAAAATAACACATTTTCACATTGTACTAGTAAGTTTCATTAATAAATATAGTATAATATGTAGTGCATTTTATATTTTACATTTCTGTTCAGCAGCATTCTAAATTATCATTATATTTCTTTTTATATATCATTTAAAATGCTGCATAGCCGTAATTTAATTTTATAATAGTATATTTGAAAATAAATTTTTCTTTCTATTGAAATTGCATTTTTTATGAAGAATGATAAAAGCGTTTTCTGTTTTAAATACAAGTAATTAACAAATAAATTTTACAGAATGTAACTGCTAATCACCGAGCAAATGATGTGATTGTTAAAGAAGGGTCACCGCAAATTATTTCTGCTCGTTTCATGTATGGACCTTTAGACATGGTTGCTCTTACTGGTGAAAAGGTATACTATCGTATGCTTGATATATATGTTACATATGCTTAACATATAGTATTTTAGTTCACTAGCTATAAAACATAGTTGAAGATTATATATTTTTAAATATCCATTAATGTTTTAGAAATAAATGATGGTGAAATCAAAATAGGTTTGCAAGAAAAAGATATGAAAAATAAATTATGTGATTTCTATGATTCTATGATATTGAAGCAGTATGGCATTCAAAATTGCCACTAGATAATATTGGTAATTTAGATAGTATTGAAAGTATATTGAATGTCAATAAAATTAATTTTTACTAAGTTCTAAATTAAAACTTTTAATAGTTTTTCCAGTTCAGAATTTGAAAGATTTCTATGACATAAAAAGCATAAAGATTTAAGTTTTTTAACCTTTTTCAAAATTTACATTTGCAGAATTAATTTTTTACATCTCTAGTTAAATATCATTGAAGCTTGGATGAGCATCTTTGAAGATGTTGATTAGTACGAGCAGTGATTAACAAAATCCAGTAAAGAAATAAAAATATTCAAAACAGCCAGGAAGAGAAGCTTGCTAAAACCCTACTGTCAACTTAGAGCATTCTGACTATTATAGTTAGTCTGGAAATGAATGCAATTTGAGAGTGTTATTGGATTGTTTTCAATAATGCATGTGTAAATAATTTACTAGAATTACTAGCACTTATAAACGTATCATATCATATCAAAAAATGTGTTATATTCATGGGTAAATAATTCTGTGATTAAAGCAATAGATTTTTAAAATCAAATGAGTTTTATTACGAAAAATTCATGAAAAATGTAAAGAAGTATTGTTTGAGGGGGGGACTGAATAAAACATAGATTGTTGTTTATAACTTTACTTGCAACTAGTTATTATTAATTAATTAAAAATGTGTTTGCTTGGAAAAATGCTAAAATGTATTTTTTTTTCCTGCTGTAGGCAAACTTATATTAAAAAGTAGGAGAGTGAAAATTAATAAAAATATCATTTACACATTTTATACTAAAAATTATGAATTCTACATTTAAATGAATTAGTATATAATCTGTGTGTTAAGTAATTGTCATAATGCAAATAAAATGAAATCTAATCTTGAATATACTGATTATCAAAATTAATACTGCTTCATTTATTTTAAACATTTCTTTATAGGAATAAAACTGGTCTTTGTTATAGTTTTTAATCTAATAATATTTAGGATTTAGAGTGATTGTTTTGATTTTATAATTGTAAAATATTTTAGGAATGAAATGATTAGATGCTTTATCATTACAAAATATTTAATTCAAATTAATAATAGTTTCTTTGTCTGCTTTAGTAAAAATATTTTGAACATTCTTATTTTAATAATTTAGTCTTATAACATATACTTGAATTAATTTCATGTCAGCTAAGTGTAATAAGAACCTACTGAAATTAAAATTTTTTTTCTCTTTCAAAACGCTTTCATTTTAATATTGTATATGCATTTCTGACCATTAACATTGCTGTACCATGAAAGAAGTACAGACTAAACCAGAAATTTGCACAAAAGGTAGAAACATATTAGAAAGTGCAGGTGATTAGCATTTCACAGAACGTGCATATTGCAGGGCAATAAACAATGTCTCCCAGTAGCATGAAAAGGCAAATTGAAATTCCAATTTTTCTTTTGAAATTGCATTTTATACAGTTTTTTGCATTTGAAATTTTGTAAGAAGAGGGAACTCATAGCAACACATCTCAGAATTTACTTATAGAAAAATGAAAGTTTACCATTTCTGAAGATTATTACATTATGTAATTGTTGTTTGCTTTGTTTAAGATAATGACTATTATGCAAATTTGCCGCTGATGGATCCAGGAGGGCCACACATACTTGTGAGATCTCAGTGGCTTCTAATCACCACTCTGTTAGGGATTAGATAGCCACATTGCATGCCCTAAGTCAGAAAGTGGGTTAACCAAGTATTCACTGTTCACATATACATATACAGTGCGATGGCATCTATAGTGCCATCAGCAAGATGACTATTGGTTCAGTTTTCTCTTGATGCTGCAGCACAGGAATCAGCATCTACAATGTTACATTCATTGATGCACTTTGATATATCATTTACATGTTATCATCTTTTCTGATAAATACCACTTTTGTTTATAGCACCTGATGGCTGCATTCATATGTGGAGGCACTGACAGTAACAAGTGTTAGAAGTTTGCATTCTTTATCATATTGGTTCACCAGCTGGTTTGATTGTATGTGTGAGGTGTCACTGGTATATACATATACCATTAACCTTAAGTCCTCAAGTTCTGGTACCATATTACATGACTAAAGTTTTAATGCGTATGCCTGTGCCATATTTTCAGGGCTTCTGTCTTAACCACTTTCATCTGGATGATGCAAAACCACATGCTGATCATTTTTCTATGATTTGTCAAGTCCCAAGGTGTGCAACTCCTACCTTAACTGGTAACTTTTCTAGGATTCTTACCAGATATATACATCTTATCAGTGTCTTCAGAAAGACTCATACAATACCTACCAGCTAGTAGACTAAATAAACTGTGGCACAGAACAAAGCTGCATAGTCTGCAGAATCTATAGCTGTCATCCAATGTCTGTTTGATTTTGTGCTAAGCCATTTTAATATCTGCTATTGGCCGAGGTGAAGACTTGGGTTTTTGATTTCTGCATGTTCTGTACCTCCAAAATAACATGGAATTCTTATGATTTTATCCTTCATTTGTAATGTACAGTGGAATTTCAGATCACATGCTTGCACACACACACACACATAAAAGTCTCTGGTGATGTACGGTGTGTTAAATTACAAACATGAAAGCAACAAATGATTTTCAAATTTGTTTTGAGATCATTTTTGATACAGAAATAACTCCAGAGGCTTCTGAAGATATTTTAATATTTGTTATTGCTTACATCTTATTAACAAAGCCTGGTAGCAAATGACTTTACAGGACCAGGAATCCAATCTGAAGGAAATTATAGACAGATTATGTTGTAGGAAAAGACTCTGACAACTTTGGCATTGCTAATATTTCTGTTATCTGTGATATTGTGTCTCTAGACAAAAACATGGGCATGGAAGATAACAGTAAAAAGGTGGAGGGGGAAAAGACTAGAGGGAAAAGAAATTGAGCTCCACAAGAAAGAACTGAAACAACTTTAGGAGCAGCAAAAAAAAAAAAAAAAAAAAAAAAAAAAAAAGAGTATTGTGGAGGAAATGTCTTCAGAATAAGACAAAAAAGGAAAAGACTAATTCTAATTCTTTGATTTGCAAAATGGGATGAAGTGCCAAATTTCATATTTGCCTTATAAAGCAGTAGCAAGCTATAGCATAAACATTTTCATTGAGAATGTAATATCTCATTTTAGAAACATTTTAAAACGTGTGTAACAATAAATAACGTAGGACAAATTTAAGTGAAACAGAAATCCTCGAGCTAAGAGACAGCTCCAAGAAGACAGTTACCTCAGTTTTTTATGGAAGAGGATTCCTCATCCAAACAGTAACAACTCTTCTTTTTCTCTTCCTCATTGTTTTCCATTTATGCTGTCTATTTTATTTCGTATTGGTATGGTAAAATTAAATTAATTATTCATCTGTTTTTGTTTAATAATAAGTTTATCTTTTCTTAAGTTTAATGATTACCCTAGCCTCCCTTTATGATGCAGCAATTTTAATAGCCAGCACTGTCTATTCGCAATGAAAGTTCTTGAAAAGGGTCAGAAACAACAAAATATATTTTAAAAAAGGGCTTAAAGGTTAATCGATAGAGAAGGCAATATTATTTCTGTGTTTTGATTATTTTGTTTTTAATTGTAAGCTATTGTCACTTACTTCCGTTTTTCAGAAAGTATACCTTCCCCAAACTGAATTATATATATATAATTTGCATTTACCTTTCTTACCTTTATACATGTAGGTTGATATTCATATTATGAAGGATCAACGTAGAGGAGAATGGACATTCTTGACTACAGAAGTTACAGATAAAAATGGCCGCCTTTCTTACACTATCCCTAAAGATCAAGCTTTGGGTTATGGAATGTTCCCAGTTAAATTAGTGGTTCGGTTAGCATCTTAAATTATTCTTGATTAGCCTAATTAAACAAATTGGAGTATCTTAAATTGTTGTATGAATAATTTATGAATATTGCTTTTATCTGTATTAACACTATTTGAACTTCCTAGAAGTGAGTAAATATTTAACAAAAATATGAAAGTTGTTCTTCTATCATAAGCAAATATATTTTTATAATCAAAAACATATTGCAAATATTGTTTTATAAAAAATGCATTATATAAACAAATTATATATATATATATATATGTGTGTGTGTAGAATTCGACTTAACTCAGAGCATGAGAGCATGGATATTTTAAAATTGGTTTATTTAATAGAAAGAAATAAAATAAAAAAAAGTAAATTAAGTAAAGATGAAGTAACGGTATGCAGGATTAACATAATGATGCACAGACAGTCCTTTACACAAAGTTCCCCGGCGTTGATAGGATAGGCTAGTTTTAAATAGTATGATCATCTAAAGTCATCACAGCTAAAGGTGAGAATAAAAGAAGAATCCTCCATAAACTCTTGAAGACGTGTGAGCCGTCTGCTCACGTCTGCCTCCACTCTCGACCAGGTCTCAGCTCTTGCTGTCTGGGATGATTCTTACTGCGCTGGGTGATGCTGATGACGTCATAATCCTGGTATTCTAATTCAGCATTCGGGACGTTGATGATTTCCCACAGCTTCGGCCAGCCTGAAGAGGCATCGTCCTCGATGTCTGTTGAATGGACATCACTATCATTTACCTGCAAAGAGATAATAATAAAAAAAAAAGAAAAAGAGAGTATCAGGTCCTTAGGTTTTGAGCTGATACAAACATCAAATCAATTTGACCATGGCTTCATATGGTCAGCCGCAGTAGATGTCAAATTCGGTCCTTCATGGCATCCTACTTTCTCGACTTCATATCTGTCATTTGATCTTACAGCTATGATTTTATACGGTCCATGAAACTTAGGTCGTAGTTTCAAACCAGTCCCATATTGAGTTCTCTGAATGGCTACCAAGTCGCCAATCTTGTATAGTTTCGGTTTCTTACGTTTTCTTGTTGAATTGTTTACGATTCTCTTCTTGTATCTTCAAAATGTTGTTTTTCGCATCTTCTCTCATTTCATCACGTTCTTGCATCAATTGCTTTAGATATTCTTCATTCAATATCTCACTAATTCTCAAATCTTCTTTATTCTTCATTTTCGTGCCTATGAGAAGCTCAAACGGTGAATATTTTCGTACTTCTCGTAGTTGTACTGTTGATTATTCTCTGAACATCTGGAACATACTTAAACCATTTCGTTGAATCTTCATGTGATAATTTTGACAAAACAGGAATCAAAATTCTATGAATTCGCTCAATTTGTCCGTTACCTCTTGGAATACCGGTAGTAATTTTGACATGTTCTATTCCTTCTTCAGTACAATAAGCTGAAAATTCTTTCGATGTAAAGGCACTACCTCGATCTGAAATGATTCTGGCTGGATTTCCAAATACAGTCTGTTGTTGCTTCAATTTTGAAATAACTTCTTGCGTAGTTGGTGATTTCACTGGATAGAACCAAGTAAATTTCGTAAAAGCGTCGACAACAGTTAGAATGTGTTGGTATCTCTTGTTCGTCGATGGAAGAGGTCCAATAAAGTCGATATGATACGTACTCAAAGGGAACGTTTTTCTTTCGGTACAGGATGAAGAAATCCTTCTGCTTTTCCTTGCTTCTTGTTGTACAGTATACATTCTATACAGTTAGCAATTACTTTTTCAACTTTGCATTTCAGTCTGGGAATATAGAATTCTTGCTCTACAGCATTCACAGTTTTATCTACAGCAAAGTGACCTTTTTTATGTACCTTCTGTATGATTTCATTCTGTAAGGATTCTGGCACTACTAGAAGATCTTTACCATTTTCAAATTTGTACAAAATATCATTTCTCACGAAGAATCCATTTTCTTCTCCCTTCTCAACTAAATTCTTTATCAATTTCACATGTTCATCTTCATTCTGTTGTTGTGCTAACCGAATCTTCTCAGTTACATCGGATGTGTATGATGTTAAAATTAAAGCATTTCTACTTAGAGCATCAGCATGTTTCATTTGGCTTCCTGAACGATGTACAATTTCGTAATCGAATTCTTCAATAAACATTGCCCATCTCGCAATTTTAGGAGTTAAATCTTTCTTATCTAAAGTTTTCTGAAAAGCACTACAATCAGTTACAATTTTGAATTTAGTCCCTAACAAATAGTTTCGAAATTTCTTCAGAGCTTCTATTACTGCAAGGGCTTCTAATTCGTAACTACAGAGTTTCTCTTGCTGCGGTGAAGTCTTCTTACTCATATACTGGATTGGGTGATAATTACCATCATCAGACAATTGGAGTAATACCGCACCAAAGCCTTGACTACTAGCATCAGTATGAAGTTCTAATGGATATCCTTGCCTAAATATGTGTAGAACAGGTGCCTGAGAGAGAATTTCTTTTAATCTGCAAAAAAGCTTCCTGTTGTTCGGAATCGAACTTAAAACCAATACCTTTTCTAAGTAAGTCACTAAGAGGTTTAGCTATTTTAGCATAATGAGGAATGAATTTACGAAAATATCCCGTTAGTCCTAAAAAGCTTTGTAGTTGTTTACAGTTACGCGGTTGTGGAAAGTTTCGAACAGCAACAGTTTTGGAAGGCGATGGTCGAATAGTTCCGTTTTCAATTACATGTCCCAAAAATTCAATTTTACGTTTTAAGAATTGGCACTTTTTGAAATTTATTTGTAATCCATACTCCGAAGCAGTTTTGAATACTCTTTCTAATTTGTCTAAACATTCAACTTCATCATTAGCCGGTATGACTATATCATCCATATAAATAATTAGTACACCTTCATTTAACAAGTCACGAAATACTGAATAAATATACCTTTGAAAAACATTTGGACTAATACATAAACCAAAAGGAGCTTTAAGAAATTCGTAAATACCATTATGTGTTACAAAGCGGTATATTTGGTGCAATTTTCGTCTATGTCTACATGGAAAAAGCCATTTTTCAAATCTAGTGTCGTGAAGACTTTTGACTGTTCTAAACGATCAAGTACTTCCGGAATTAAAGGCAGTGGAAATTTGTCTTTAATAATCTTCTTATTTAATTTCCGATAGTCTACACATAAACGTTTCGAATTATCACGCTTGTTACACAAAACAATAGGCGCCGAATAATTAGAATTGCTAGGCTTTATTATGCCCTCTTTCAACCATTCCTTAATTTGATCGTCAACAATTTTTTGTTCCGCGAAAGACATGTATCTTCTATTTTGACAGACAGGAATATCATCGCATAAATTTATTTGCATCTTGAAGTCAGATTGTCTATTTTTCCGAGGTTGGTACGAATTAATTAAATTACACAGTCTTTCTTTATGTTCTGCATTTCGAAATATGCGATAAATCAATCTCGTTGACAGAAATAGCATTCACCAGATGTGAAAGGTAATTAAACGTCGAGCGAGCTACTTCCGCTTTCGGGACTTTTGTTTACATTAACAGAGACGCCAGACGATTGCGAAGGATCATAAAGCATTCTTCAATGACACAGCAATATTCAAATTTCCCATAACGCAACGAACGTTAGAATTTCGATATGACTCAGCAGTTATCAAGTTTACATTACTTTTATTCCGATGAGAAATTATTTGAAGGCCATTCTCGGTAAAAGAGAAGTTAAACTGATTCAATACATCCAAACCTAATACAATTTGATTACATAATGACTTAACAACATAAATTTTCGTACGCAGTGAAAGCTATCAATTGAAATATCAGAAATGAAAAAGCCGATGGGGTACGTTTGCTTTGATTCAATTCCGTTTAATGTGATATCGCTACAATTTAAATTAGGAGAACCAATCTGCTTGTGTAACTCTACGCTGCATATCGTTACATCTGAACCAGTGTCAACTAGACTATCAACTAAATGATTATTTATTTCTACAGTCTTCATAATTCTATCCTTGTCACAAATTCGTTGTAATAAAGCTGCTTGTGTTCTCGGGGGTCTGCTCTGGACAGTTCGTTGAATAGTGCCCATACTTTTTACATTTTATACATTTTACACCCTTTGATTTGTTTACACAATGCTTGGATAGATGCCCAAATTCCTGGCAATTAAAACACTTGACCTTATTAACGTTAGATTGATTTCGGTATTAACGAAAGCTTACTTCTATCTTTAACTTGAGTGTCTACTTTCGGTTTCGGATTTTTAAACTTATCATTGTCCGATCTCATTCTATCATAAAGATTGTATTTATTAATAAAATGAAGGATTATTTCATTCATGAAAGATGATGATGCTTTTGACAGCTGGGATGGCTGTTTACAAAATTTGCTGTACGTGACATTGGCTATTGAATACTAGTTCCAATGGCTGACTTAGAGATTTTTACGTCAATCAAAACATTTAAGTGGTATCATGGCACCTTTTTTTTAAAAATGTTTCACTGAAACTCATATGGGCCAGAATTAACAGATATGCTGAAAATGCAAGATACCTATTACAAAGATGAAAATATTGAGCAATATGAAACATATGAAATATACACATATGAAATACTTTATCAAGTTGTGTGATGAAATTCTTTCAATGTAGGAGAAATATTGATGTAATCAATTATAAATGGAGAACTGTCTATTTATAACAGATATTAATATGGAAGAGAGATCTATATTAGATAGAAAGATATATATTTTATAGATATATTGAAATAAAAAATGGTGAATAAAGGGTTACAACTACAAATCACCCATAATTAACCTAGATATTTATTAAGTATGATATATAATACATTATTTAAAGCATTCATTTCAAATTGTTACTCATATGTAAATTATTTTCAATAAATTATCCACATTCCTCAAACAAAAGATGAAATTTTAAATAAAATTATTTAACTTATATACTTACTGAATTATTTGCAGATGAAATCATTTACTATTCTTGTTAGTTATTTATATTTTGGACTATTTTATGAAAGCTTGCAAAAGGTAAAATGCAGCTGCATTATTTTCATTTAACAATAATGTAACTGCATATTCTTCTAAGATAAAAATAAAGGGAATCATAATTTAATTATTTGTAACATTTAATTAGTAAATTTATTCATTATAGTATTAGGTGAGCAGGCATAAGCTAGTGATGACCATCAGATATAATTTGAAAACAAGGAAAATTTACACTAAACAATTCTGTTTTCTTAAGATGAAAAGCATTCAGTCTCTACTTTTGATATTTCTTTCAGGAGCAGTGGGGGATGATCTTTTAAGGTCTTATGCACTTGGTACAGCTCTTTCAATTTTATTCACAGTTTAACTCTAGAATTAGACTGTGGTCATTTTGACCATATCTCAATTTTAATTGGACATAAGTTTTTAAAATCTTTATTTATAACTTTTTTTTTTTTTTTAAAAACTTACGAATGTTACATGATATTTTTATTTGTCATTTTAAATACTTATTTTCACCAATACCGATATTATTTTTTATACCTAGAATTATGACTATCAATCATTTTGAGCATATCCAGAAAATTATATATTTCTCGTTATCTTTATGACTTTGTTAGCAATTTCCGGTGTGCTGATAGGTAAACAAGTGTATTTTTGGTAAGGAGATTGCATATTTCGCAGGAGTGAGTGAGGAGGAGAGGAGGGGGGGGTAAAACACTTGCTTAGAATTTTTGTGCACCATGTCTCTGTACATTTTCCTTATGTAAGAAAGGTTATTTTTCAGTTTACACAAATGTACTTTACTTTATTCAGATAGTTTTGTTGCTCTGACCTGTTTATCATGTCACGTAGATGTGTTGGTAGAAAAATATGTAATGAAAGAAAAGATGCTGAAAGTTTTTGAAAGTCTTTTTGATGATAATTCTGCTTCAGAAACTAAACCTGATGAAGAATTTCTTACCGAAACAACATCCAATTTATCTGACGAGTACTGGATTGGATCCTACTGAAACAAGTGAATCTAATTCGTCTGATGGAGAATCAGTTCAGAAACAGAAAAGAATTTTTGTGAAAATTTAGATCAAGAAAATACTACATTACCTTCTATTAGTATAGTTTCTGGAGATGAAATCAAAGGCAGTAGTCAAGCTGGAGAAAGTAGTGAAAGGCAACGAAACAAAACTCTAGAACAAGGAAGATGTATCCAAGGTAAGGAAATTCAAAACAACAAAGAAACAGTGAATGATGGTTCAGTTTGGAAATTAAGAACTATTTCTACAAGTGTTACAGGGAGACATCCTCAGCAGAATGCATTCAGCGGTGTACTGAAGAAGAGACACGTAAGAAATTCCAAAATCCAAATTGGAGTTTGCCACTCAATGAATTAGATGCTTTCATTTCGCTGTTATATGTTCATTGAGCTTTGGCTGCAAAAGATCATTCTATTTTGAGTTTATGTTTAAAATATTGGGGCCTGGCATTTTTCACTGATACAATGGCACTAGGGACAGATATCTGGAAATTATAAAATATTTGTGCTTTGACAGGAAATCAACTAGATCCCAAAGACTGCAAACTGATCCATTTGTCCTTGTTTCAGATATTTGGAATGTTTTTATAGAAAACTGCTTGAAATGTTATAAACCGTGCAAAAATATAACAATTGGTGAACAATTATTTCCCATGAAAACAGATGCCAATTTATTCAGGATATGCCTAAAAGGCTGGACGAATTTGGCATTAAATTTTGTCTTGCTACTGATGTTCAGTCAAAATATATACTGAACGGATTTCCCTGTTTGGAAAAGATGAGACAAGACCAGCTGGAGAAACAGCAAATGAACATGCAGCTTTTTGCTTGATCTATTCTTACGAAATCTTAATCTAAAATATTAAAAGAAACCTGACAAAAGATGTTTTTTTTTTCACTTTGCTGAAATTAGTAAAAGAAATGAGGAGTCCAGTAGTAAGCTGCATTGGCACAATAAATTGTTCAAAAAGAGAAGTATCTTTTTCTTTCAAACATACGAGGGATGAGCTCTATTCTAGTAAGACTGCTAAGCATGACAATATAACTCTTACATTTTATCACGGGGGGGGGGGGGGGGGGAAACAAGAATGTCCTGCTCCTGAGTAAAATGGACCAAACACTGGAAATCACATCTGATAAGAAAAAGACATCAGAAGTTGTGAATTTTTACCATGCGACCAGATATGGGATTGATGTTTTGGACCAGACAGCATTTGAGGAAATGTTTAAGAAAAGAAATATATAATATTGAGATGTTTTGGTAAATTTTCTTTCTCTTAAGGTCATAAAAACGTTATTATTTTATAAACAACTATTCACATTTTTAATTTGATAATTTCTACATGTTGTTAGTTTCAAACTGGTGATCTAATCTAGAAATTTCCAAAATCCAGAATTGCTGAAGCCCCGATAGTTCCTAATGTTGGACTTTGTACTGTAGTTATACAGCTTTTGCTAATAAATACTAGTTAAATACAGTTTTTCACAAGCAGATCCAAACAACTATGCCACTCAGAGTGCCACATTATGTACAAATGAAAGAATGTTAATTGAAAGCTTTAGCAAACTCAAAAGACTTACAAAGCTTATTCTCTTTAGCTAACAACTGATAAAATAAAATCATTTTAATGATAAGATTATATGAGATTTTTTATATATTATTTTATTTAGAATTTCAGTGTGTTTCAAACAGGAAAAATATGCACTTAAAAGAAAAATGTAAGTTTATGATTTAAAATTAAGCAAAATTTATATGCATATATTGATATTAGTTATTCATCCATTGCTGTTTGTCTAAAAGCAATGTAAATATTATACAGAATATTTTTGTTCCTTGAAAACCTGTAAGTTAAAATCCCATAAAAGGAATAACGTTTTTCTGTGAAACCAATATCAATCTAAGGTCCAGTTTTGTCTAACTTTAAATAGGAAGAGTATTTTCTGAAAATATCATAGCAGACTTTGTCATATTTTTAAAATCACTGTCTGCATCTTAGCCTTATAGTAATATGAAATTCTTATAATTTTTCTTATTATTTTATTGGAGTTAGTACACCAGTATGCATGCAATAACTGAATAATTTTGTACTAATGATAGCTTAAATAATTAAAACTGGTAAGGACTATGTGTAGATTCATATAAATAATGCAAAATTTCTGTGTATTATTAAAAATATATATTAATATTGTGTTTTCCCCCTAGGGGTGACCATACTTCATTAGATTTCTTTCTAACAGTTATTCCACCTAAAACAGAATGTGTAGTTTTCAGCATTGATGGTTCATTTACTGCAAGTGTATCCGTCACTGGCAAAGATCCTAAAGTTAGAGCTGGTGCTGTTGATGTTGTAAGGTAGGTATTGCTTCTTATTAACCATAAATTGGAATACTCTGATATTATTACAGTCAAAAGTCGTTAATCCGGACTCGTCGGGACTTTGGCAATTCCGGATTATAGATCATCAGTTTAAATCTGGTAAGATGACATGCAGAAATTATAAAATTAAAAATATGAAACCATAATTTATGAAATAAAGAACAATTATGATCTAAAGGGTATATCAAAATTTACAAAAAAAAAAAAAAAGCTTAATATTTATTTGTTTACTTTATTAAACATTTCTTTCAATGTAAGTTGTTTAAGTTGCTTCGTTTTTATGTGATAATACTTTCTCTTTAATTCTATAAACAGACATAATTTCTTGTTTAGTTACAAAGTTCCGCTGTTCAAGTCCTATAATTGCTGTGTCGAGAATACCAACTAATTTGTCAATCAAAATTTTTTCGTTTTCAATAACCTCTGTGTCACTTTCTTCGCTTTCGGAAGCAAATTATAATGATAAGGAGTTTGATTTAAATCATATCAAATACGGAGTACATTGAGATGAAAAACTACATTTAGTAAGGAATTATAAGCCAAATAAAATTAAAACATCTGCCCTGAAGATAAGGATAGTGCTGACAGATCAACTTCCAATTCATTGCGTGCCGCGACGTCCCCCCCTCCTGCCGCAGAGCAGTGTGAAATTGATAAACATATTTCAGAATGGTTAGATAAACAAAGGATATGCCTTTATCCACTTTTTGTTTAATGGACTTTGAAACATACTTTCGCTTTGTAGATCCTTTACATATTAGTAAATATATATCAGAAATTCTATTTGACATAATCGAAAGTTCAAGCTTACTTTTATAAAATTGCTCTAACAGTCTGCAAAAAATAATAAGCCGGATCCAATTAGAAGATTAAGGAACAACGCAATCTGCAACATTAACTGAATTAGATAATTTTAGCTTAGCTTATACCGTCCGTTATACATTAAACGCTCATTCGTAAACGTATTTTGCGCACACGCACACACCTATTCGCAGCCGTAAAGGTCTTACGCGCATGCGTCAACATGAAGCATGCGCAGAAAGTTTGTAGCTTTGAGGTCCGGATTATAGATCATTCCGGATTATGGGTGTCCAAATTAGCGGCTTTTGACTGTACTTCTTTAACAGATAATTGAGCCGCATTCATCTCCTCTTTAACGGATTCTTGCCCAGCTTCCATCTTTGCTTTAACAGAATCTTGACCAACTTTAATCTATTCGTTAAAGGATGCTTGGTCAGCTTCCCTATTTTCTTGGAATGCAGCAAATGCAGTTATCAACTGCCTCGATTGTTCTTCCATTGCTCTAGTTAATGGCATTTAAACCCCACTCTTGACACTAAAAAGTGTTGTGTGCATACGGGTTTGTAATAAATTGAATGCACAAGTAATAAGAATAAAATTTATTTCTTATCGCAACAAATAAAAATAAAATACTGAAATTTCCTCAAAGATATTCCTACAATATCGCAATATCTCATGGTAGTTATATTTTAAACTAATAAAGCGTTAAATAGAACCCAATTCAAGAGAAAGCTAATCTGATCTCACCATGAATTCGCTACAGTCAATAACAGCACTAAGTAAACAGCCAAATTGAGATATTTTCCTCCAGTTTTTATAAGCTTTTTAATCATGCGTGAGTACATTATGGTATTTCCTCAATTTTTCTGGAGAGCAAAAGAGTATAATTACAAGATATCTATACATTAAATTGTTAAATACGCATGCTCCTGTATTTTAATTTTTCTGGCGCAGCATTCTCTTCAAATAAGTCTCATGCTGCATTGCACATGAATATAAAACAATTTTAATAACAAATTCTACTAAAAATAGCTAAATAAATGCAAAATCCGTAACAGTATAAAAAATAACTAAACTAATGCAATTCAGTCTTAAATGTCTCCGAGCGCGAGAAAGGAAAAATAAAAGTGGAACTCTTATCTTTAGTTGCCAATCGTATGATACATAGCCAAGCATGTATAGTGAATGATAGCTAAATTTTATGACGATAGCCACAAATTTTAAAGGTTTTTGGATATCGCAAGCCAAAGGTGAAATTTTCCAATTAAAGAATTTTGTAAAGAAATGTTGAGAAGCGGTAATAAGTGAAGGTGATATAAAAGAAGTTTTTCATTGTGATGATAATGCTCCTCAATCATCAGTGAATTAATGGATGGCAAAATCTGTAGTAGGGTTCTAGATCCAGAAAATACCACTACTGATAGTGAAGAAAGTAACAGTGAGTTTATTGAAAACGAAAAAATTTTGTTAAGTTAGTCGGAATTCTCAACACAGCAATGACAGGACTTCAGCAATGTAACTGAACAAGAAATTATGTCTGTCTACAGAATTAAAGAGAAAGTATTGGGACAAAAAATGAAGCAACTTAAACAACTTACATTGAGAAATGTTTAATAAAGTAAACAAATAAATATTAAGCTAGCTTGCTTTTTGTTGTTGTTGTTGTTGTAAATTTTGATATCCTTTTTTTTGTAATTTTGAAGCATTTGTAATTTTGATCATAAATGCTTCATTATTTCATAAATCATGATTTCATATTTTTAATTTTATAATTTCTACATGCCACCCTACTAGATTTAAACTGAGATCTAATATGCAATAAAATCCCAAATCTGGAATCGAAGTCCCAACTAGTCCAAATCTCAAACTTTGTACTGTATAAGAAAATAGTATACATATTTGTATAATTAGTAGTCTTGTAAATCTGTGTGATTTAGTCCATTTAGTCTATGTGTGATGAAATCTCTCTGTGTTTGTTTAGCCACTGTGTGATAATCAATTTTGTGACTTTAGGTTAATCGAAATAGTTCACTTTTGTGAATTTTTGTTAACATTTAGTGATCACATAAAATTAAACATAATTTCTGAAGCCAAAATTTGATGTTAGAAATGCATAATATAAACTCAATCAGATTATATAAAATACAGAGTTCAAAAGTCAGGCACTTCAAAGCCCTTTTATTCTCTTTTGGGTTTGCTTTATAATTTGAGTAATGGTTGCTGTAAAACATTGCCGATTCCACTGACCATCTAAAATTCTCTAAACACTTCTGTGTGCCAATAATAATACACACTATGATCACTACAATGGAGAAGATCTTGAAATGCCTTTTTTAAAGTAATAAATTATAATTAGGTTAATTCATTGCCTTTAAATATTATGAATTACATTATCTTATAGTAATAAAGAAAACTAAGAAAATTAGCATGTAAACTTGAAGAATTTAAATTATAAAAATAAATAAGTAAAGAAATCTGAAAGCTTTCAGATTTTATATTATGCACAAAAAAAGCTTTTATTAAAATCTTTTGTGTGTAACTTTTATTGATTAAATATCATGTTCTTCACACGTAAAGTACATAAAATTAAATTCAACAACAATATCACAAAATATTTAAAAACAGCATATCTTAGAATTTTTTAGTCTCTCTTACATAGTCTCGTGCGCTGGAGATAAAAATGTTTGTTTCCGTTGCTCACTTTGAAATCGTTGAGTTTGTTAATCAAAAATTCATTGAAATGCAAAATTTGGGCTTCCAGTTGCTGATATTTCATGTGGAGGATTACATTATTCAAAATTTCATGGCTCTAGATACTGTTGTTTCTTCACAGTGCGAGAAACATTCACAAAGATTCTTCATTATTTAGTTTCTTTAAATATAATACATGGCGATAATATGTGGTGGCAACAGTTTGAAAAGTGAATCGACGCAAAATGCTGTTTTGAAATTAATATCCCTTCTGGGGTAAAAAATTAAAGGAAAATGCTGATTTGAAAGGATTGTGAATGTGGAAACAGAACCACAGTGAATGTTTAATAATAAAAAATGGGGTTTTAATGTTACCATTTTTGGTAAAACTATTTTACTCTTTATATAAATTGATTTTATATTTTGAAAAATTGAAATAGTTTACCTACAGATCAAAGTTCAGTTTAATGAGTTTTAGAAAGGTGTTTGTGTTTCTTCCATTTTATAGTCTTACTTATAGCTTTATTTCTATAACCAGTGTTGGATTTTCATAAAAAGAGTTGAATTTCCTTTTAAATAATGTATATTACATGCAATCAATTTAAGAACACTATTGCATTAAGGCTTAGGTTGACTATAAAATATTGAAAAAACTCATTTCCATAAAAATATTTGTAAATTTATTGGCACTTTAAAGTATATTGTTAATTTTTATAATTATAAAGCATAGTGGAATTTTTTGTTATTAAAACTTAAGTAATGTCACATATTCAATTTATGATATACACTTATGTGCATAAATTAAGGATAATACCAGCTTCAGTAAATACAGGTTCAGAAACAAAACAAACATGATTTATTCATAAAGTCCCTTTATTAAACAAAAGATAAAGAACAAAAATGGTGTATGTGTGATACCATTCACAGAGTTACCAACTCTCCCGATTTTCGACCGCCCTCCTGCCAACCCGATTTACAATATATTTCTCCCGACTTTTTCTTATTCTTAAAATTTCTCACGATTTTTATGGAACTTGGCTTAATACTTTCTTATATAAACAAAAACAAAATATTAATAATAATAATAATAATAATAATAATAATAATAATAAAAGATTTTGGACGTCTGAAAGCAATTGAATTTTCTCTAGATTATATTTAAAACAAAACCTTGCAAATTAGATAACTTCTGCTTTGTGAGAGAATATACGTATCCAGAAACATCGTTCTCCAGTTCTCCAATGGGTATCGAGCTCCACTGCGTGTCATCTGGCATATATTAGCCAATGAGGACAAAGCAAGCTGTTATTTGGATGTTCTTTAGTTATTTCGTTCATTTTGTTCTGAGTTGTGTGAGTACACATGCCTTTGGGATATAGTTTTAGAAATTATAATCTTTTGTTATGTCTGCGAGAAAGGTGAAATACTCATGTATGTTTCAAAAATCATACACAGTTGACTTTCCTTCCATTATTTCCTCAAGG